GCTTAATCAGAGAAGAACCCTTTTCATTGGCAGACAATGAACCATAATATCAGTATCGAGACCTGGCATGTCTTCGTATGACCAAGAAAATACCTCAACATATTCGTGCAACATTTGAGTCAATCTGTTCTTGACACTGCCCTCTAAGTTGGCGCTTGTCTTGACTTCTTTCTTATTTGTCTCAGAACCCACGTTTACCACTTCGACCGGCTCTTCGTGTTGTTGGATAGCCTTTTCTTCTTGTATTAAGAGTCTGGCAAGTTCTCCAGGTATTTCAGAATCTTCTTCACCTTCGTCTTCAGCTTGGTAGATTGGATTTTTAAAGCCATAAGCGGCAATAGAAAAATTGTTATCAACGAGAACCGGAGTGGATGGCGATCTGCAATGTAGTGCGTGGGTGTGCGTAAGAACACATAGCTATTTGAAAGTGCAATAAGGAAAAATAAAGACAGAGAGCGCAAAATTTTAATGCAAAAAGTCCAATGTTTTCATTAAATGAAAATATGACATATGAAATGACAACCCTTAACAAATGGACCATTGTGTCCCAGGTAAGACACAAGGTTTAAAGTCATCGTTTTAAAAGAAATTACATAACCAAACTTCTTAAAGAAATAAAAACATAAATAGCTATTACTCCTGGATAAAGGAGATAAGGAAAATGTCTTCCGCTTTCCAATTATCGAGTCTGTTGCTAATGGTAGGAAATATCCAGTTGTCGAAATCACCATCACTGTTAGTGTCTTCTATAGCATTGATTCCATTGTTGCTGATACAGAATGGAGGTCTTCCAGCTCAAGTGTGACGAACAACCCTTTGACCCTCTGCAGTAAAGCCCAAACCAAACTTGTCAGATTTATAGAGGATATCAGGAAGCTGACCCCAAATTATGCAACCACCTTCTTTTATAGTAGCTTTGGCATCTTTCAAGGAAGCCATCTTGTGCGGAACCATGGTAGTCTTTGGAATGGCAAAAACATCTTCAACAACATTAGGGAAATTACTTTAAAAGCTTGACAAGGAGTTTCAATGAATTCACCATCCATTTCTACATACCGGGAAGAATTCAGGTGGCTGATCATGTACTCCTCCTCTCCGCAGACAGTAACGATCTTCCCTTTTATAGGATAGTTTAATTTCTGGTGCACGGTGGAGGTAAAAACTGCTGCCCCGTGGATCCAGAGGCGTCCTAGCAGACAATAATAAGCTGGTCGGATGTCCATTACATAGAAAGTGGATTCAAAGATCTGTGAACCAACTTTGATAGGAAGATCCACTTCTCCATGTACCATTATTTTTGATCTGTCAAAGGCTTGAACTATAATATCGCTAGGTTTCAGCATAACCCCTTCACAATCCAGTCTGTCAAGCGCGTCTTTTGACAGGACATTCAGAGAAGAGCCAATATTAACTAACACACGGGCCAACATAGTGCCCCTGCATTCAATGGAGACGTACATTTCCCTATTATGATTTCTCCCCTCCGGAGTCAGGTCAGCATCGGAGAAACCTAATCCATTGTTTGTCGTTAAGCTAGCCATCTAACTTCCAAATTGATCGGCAGAAATCCCTTGTGGTACATGAGCAGTCTTCAAAAATTTCATTAAAGCTTGTGCATGAGCTTCAGAACATAATAGCAAGGATAACATAGAGATCTTGGATGGGGTCTTCCCCAGTTGTTCAATAATTTTGTAATCGCTTCTACGAATGATCTTCAAAACCTCTTCCATTTCTTGTCCAGGGGTATCTTTGACTGTAGTTTCTTTTGGTGCCTCTGTCCGAGCAGGCTCTATCACTGACTCTTTACCTCGAGCTTCAACAGTTGTCTTGGTAACTGTAACTTGAATATGTGGAGATATTTCCAGAGAGAAAATCCTTCCACTTCTAGTAATTTTGCTAGTCCCCACAATATTGTCAATGTTGGGATCGACTTCTTCATCATCTTCATCAGACAACTCTTGTTTAATGCCATGGTAATAGACGTCAGACCCATAATTCCATGGAACAGCCTTCTCCGAGGAATATGGAATGGGCCTAGGTTTTGTAATGATTAAGGGAGCATATTTTGGATTGACAGTAATCCTTACAGGACCTTTAGAAGTGATCTTGAAAGGAGTACCAGATATGACAGATAAATCTCGACACAAGTTCTCAGCATACAAAATTTTCTTAATCAAAATTATGTGTTCTTCCATCAGGCGTTGAATACCCTCCTTCAGCAACCCACAACCATTGGGTTGAACTGCACAATAATAAAATTCTTTAACACAACCCGAAAATAAACCGGCTTGTAGCAAATTCTTCTTGACTGTTGAGAGAGGAGTAACCACATCATTTACGGAGGTAACGTAAAAAACATCTTCTATAGCACTTATGCCTTTGTCATGCTTCGGCATAGGAGCAGTAATCACGTTTGGAGTCTTAGGAGGGTCAAACTCAATTTCTTTGTTATCAATCATGTCTTGAACTTTGTGTTTCAGGGCCCATCAATTGTTGGTGTCATGCCAAGGACTATTCGAATGATAGGCACACTTCGCATTTGGGTTGTACTTTGGAGAGGATGTGTTAGGATTAGGAGGAGGATCCCGAAGTGTTATGAGATCAGCCTTTAACAAATGTTGCAATGATTGAGCCAATGGAATACTAATCCTGGTGAACTGCCTTCTCAGAGCGTTTGACCTACGTTGGTTGCCTTGTTGTGATTGTTGAACAGGCGTCGAATTAGAGATTAACACTACTCCCACAGACTGATGGTGGTCATTTTTATTACGGATTTTCTGGCCATAGACAACATTAGTTTCTTTTTTACTAATGAAGGGCTTCTTCACAGCATTAGAAGATGTAGCCATTGGAATCTTCCCACTCTTAATACCACTTTCGACTCGTTCTCCAGTCAGAATTAGCTCAGTAAAGCCAGATGAAGAACTCCCAATCAGTAGATTAAAGAATGGACCCGTTAGAGTGCCTATGAACATATCTACCAATTCCTGGTCAGTCAAAGGAGGTTGCACCCTTCCATCTTGGTCCCTCCATTTTTGGGCATACTCCTTGAACCCTTCATTCGAGCCCATGGACATGTTTTGCAATTGCACACGAGTCGGCGCCAGGTCAGCATTATATTAATACTACTTGTAGAAAGGAGCAGCCAAGTCTTCCCATGTGTGGATGTTGGTTCCTTCCAGCTGATAGAACCATTCAAGTTGAGTACCAGATAAGCTTTCTTGAAAGAAATGGACCCATAATTTCCGTTCAGCAGTATGAGGTTAGATTTTTTGAACATACGACCTTAGATGAAGTTTGGGACAAGAGACACCATCATAGTTAGGAAAGACGGGGGGCCTTGAACTTGTGAGGGATGACCACCCCCCGATATCACACCTAACTCTCCAAAATCCAATCCATGCACTTTATGGATTTCCACAGCTTTAAGTGGGTCTTCCTACTGCTTGTACTTGTCATCTGCCGGAGGATACTGTTCGTTGGAGTAGTCTTCATCTTCAGAACCCTGATTGTTTTTACCTTCATCCTTGACACTTCTATCCTCAGACGAAACATCTTGAACTGGTTGAGTAGGACTTTTGAATCTTCTCCCCATGTTGAGGATAACATCCCACTTCTTAGTCTTCTTCTTCGTGGTGAGGAGTGCCACCATCTCTTGTTGCCCTTTGCCCAGATTCAAGAGAGTCTCTTGAAATTATGCATGTTGAGTTTGGAGATCCTTGACAATTTGTTCGAGAGCCATCTTATACTGAAATAAACAGTAAATAAATGAGGAAACCTGTATTGGAAAACCTGCCTATAAAATGATGCATGATATATGGATGCAATATTTTCAAGGACCTTGAGAGATTTAAATTTGCTAGCCAAAAGGAAACAAAAACAAAGATTTCATTAATAAGTTCAGAATTACAAAGGTAGGCAACAATTGATATACAAAATAATCTTGATTTTGATATTGATATTAATGAGAGTAATTAAAAAATAAAATAAAAATAATAGTATTAAAATAAAATTTTCTTTTATAGTAGAAATAGAAATAGAAGAAAACATGAGAGAGTGTCAAATGAAAAACTTGTCAAAATACTCATCTCACTTTATTCTATTGTATGATTCATTAGAATAAATTTCTTATCTTTATTTTCCTGAATAATTAATTTCTGTGAATAAATTTTGATTCCGTAAAACAAACGCCCTTTTATTATTTTACTAAAAATATCAATGTAATAAATATTAATTTAAAAATTAATCTTTGTATTTTCTAACAAATTAATATAACAAAACTTCATATTCAATCCACTTAATGCACCAAAATATAATAAAAAATAAATAAAATTAATGTACCAAAAACCCACTCACAAAAAAATTAATATTAATCAATTTTTATCCAAATAAAAAAAAAAAATTCTTAAGAATAATTACTGAAGGCAGAGTCATTTTTCCAGGAATGTAGTAGTCTTGTTTTGGAAACTCTTAACAAAAGAATTCATGGACCACAAAAAATGTAAAAAAAAAAAGTCTCATGAAAAAACAATTACTAAAAAAAACATTGAACTGATGAAACTACTACACACACAATATATAATATAATATATATATGTTAAAACTAATTCCAATTAAGTTTTATCTTTTAAATTTTGACTCTTGAATAAAAAATAAAAAATCTTTGACTCAATAGTTCCTTCTTTTTTTGACAACAATATTTCCTTTTTTTTTTAAACTCCAAAAATTGCCTTTCAGCAACATTCAAAATTTTAACCTTTGATAATAATTTAAAAAAAAATGTATTTAGTTATTTTTAAATAAGTAATAAATAAACTCAGAAATAATTTTTTATTTTTATCTATGTATTTATTTATTAACCAGGGTGGTTCTTTTACCACACTTTCTCTCTGCAAATTCTCATAGTTAGTCTACAACCATTCATCTTGTTCTAAGCGCAGTGAAAGCATCCCAAAAAATTCGCTTCACCGTCTTATGGGTTCTTCTCTTTCTCTTCTTCTATGGACCTTCTAACCCTAATCATCAACCCCATGTTTCGCCGCCGGTATTTTTTCCTTTTTCTCTTCTTCCACCATTTTTACATTTTTCTTTCTATTTTCAATAAATTTCTACACTTTTTTCACTTTCTTCAACTTGATTACTGTTTTTTCTCTCTTCGGTATTTTTCAAAAATAATTTTTTTTATTTTTTATTTATTTTTGGGTGTCTTTTCAGTTCTTCCCTGTAACTATTTTTTTTTTGTTGTCTATGGTATATGGTTTGAATAAAGATACTTTCTTTTTCCGTTTTTGAGATTTTTTTTTTCATTTGAAATTTTTGGGTTAATGGTTCTTGTTAGCTAGAATGAGTGTTTATGTTTTGTTTTGATTTATTTATTTTTGTTTAGAAAGTTTTTGTTTTTCTTCTTATAGATGATTGGTTCAAGCATGGTTGGTATGATATGATATAGTTAATTAAACTTTTCAATTTTTCACATAGTAAGGGTTATTGTCTTTTCTATTTCTAGCATGCCAAGCTTCCTATCTTTGTGTAGATGTTGTTAATTTTATTACTTTTGGCATTATTTGCTGCTTGGTATTAATATAACGTATATAACACTCGATGTTGATGATTGTGTCAAGAATGGAATTACTTGTGTTGTAATCAATGCTGTCAAGTGTAACTGCAATTGGTTAATTTTTTGGTTGCTTAGTACTTGTTCATTTCAATTTTCAAACCTACCTTCTTTTTTTTCAAGTTTTTTGCTATTTATTTATAAATTAATGTAATGTTTTTTTGAATGAGATTTATCTTAAAATGCCCTTTCCTTTTTTTTTTGGAGCCAATGAAGTGATGAATAGAAATAAAATGTTTGGCTACTTGACACTTTCATGTTTGCAGAAATGTGTGTATTATTTATGGATTTAAATCAGATATAATAATTATATAATTTAAAACGTTTGAGTTCGAACATTATCTTTAAAGTTACACATGATTGGTTGTGATTTTCTCGCTGTGCTATAGTTGTTTTGTATATAGAGAAAAATCTAACATGTATTTGTGGTTCAACTAGGGAATTGTTGCAGCTGACCAGAAAATTCACTTGTCATGTGGTTCTGTCATGTATCTTATGTTACCTAGTTGCATATGGACTATGTTCTAGGAATGGTGCGCAAAATTTACCAGATTATGATGCTTGTTCATCGTTTGAGAAAAATTACCATTTTGATTCTTCAGCTGCCGCCGTTAGTGACTCTTGTTTAGGCCACAGATTTCCAGCTGCTCACAACAGTTTTGAAAATGTGTGTCCAAACAGTAATTTGTTTTGCTTTCCTTCGTTGTTGGATGGGTTTTTTCCTGACAAAGAATCTGGTAGTCAGTACAAAAGTCCACGTTGTGTAGAATTAGCTCAAGATAGGTGGCAGGAGAGTAACAAAAGTTGGTCATCTGACTTTGGTGTGTTTAGGCTACTTAGTGGAGGGGTTATCTCGTGTTCGCTGAATTCTAAAGAAGGATTGAATGAGGCACCGCCTCTTCAGACTGAGATTGGTCATAAAAATGACATTTTCTCGTGTGTAGGCTCTTTACCTAAGGTGAAGTCGCCACATATTTGGCCGAAGAGCTATGAGGTGTCAAAATCAAGTTCCTTGGATGATTCTATCTTGCCTAATATAAAGATTGGCCCTACTGTGTTGGACTGGGGACAAAAGTATTTATATTCTTCTTCAGCAGCTTTTCTAACTGTGGAAAATACGTGCAATGAGAGCACATTGCACCTCTATGAACCGTTCAGCACTGATTTACAGTTCTATCCTTGTAACTTCAACGAGGTTTCGCTACAGCCTGGTGAATCGGCTACAATTTGTTTTGTTTTCTTCCCCAAGTGTCTCGGCTTCTCATCAGCTAACCTGATTTTACAGACAAGTTTGGGTGGATTTGTAGTTGAGGCTAAAGGATATGCTACTGAGTCTCCTTTTGGAATTCAACCATTATCAGGGTTGGAAATATCTCCTAGTGGAAGATTGAGCAGGAATTTTTCGATTTTTAATCCCTTCGATGAACCACTTTACGTGGAGGAAATAACTGCTTGGATATCTATTTCTCTGGGAGATAGTAATTCTGTTGAAACTGAAGGAATTTGTAGCGTAAATGATTTTCAAGTTTTTGATACCCGTCTCTCCCCAACGATTAAGGATCGTTTGGTCGTGAAGAGTAGCCGAGTAGGTTCACCAATAGTAGCAGTTAGGCCAAATAGGAAGTGGGATATCGCTTCACAAAGCTCCGAAACACTCTTTGAGATAGATATTACGGTTGGATCGGAAGGAAAAATCTTCGGTGCATTTTGTTTACATTTACTGAGAACCTCACAAGACACATTTGATACTATTATGGTTCCTATTGAAGTCGAAGTTGATAGTCATTCTTCTGCCTCGGCCACTGTTGGTAAATTTGTTTCCGCATCTCTTGAGGGTCTCGCCACATGTGATAGTGGTGAAATTGCTATCACTATCTCTCTAAGCAACGACGCTTCTCACATTTTAAATTTTGTTAAAGTTCTACAAGTCGCTGATACAGAGCTTTTCCATATTAAGTACAAGGAAGGCTTACTGCTTTTCCCTGGTACCGTTACACAAGTTGGCATTATTTACTGTAATCACCTGCACTTGGATTCACCTGAAGTCACTGACATGCGAGAGAACTGCAAATTGTCGATCCTAACAAATGACTCAACTAGTCCCCTGATTGTGATTCCATGTGAAGACATATTATATATTTGTTTTGAACATCACAGGCTTTCGTCTGCTGGTGTAGAAGATAGGTCTAACCATATCGAAGCTCGCAATATGAGAGCAGGGTATGTTGGCAGGAGCACGCAATTCCCACCAAATGTCAAGGTATGTTGATTTAACTCTCCATTTTCCATATTATCACAAATTGTTCTGTGTTTACATGGTCGTTATATATTTCCGATTTTGAATAATTATTGAACAATTCTATCTGCTGTTTTTGTATAAAGGTTTTAGAGACATCGGTAGATGAGCTAGTTCTTGAAAACTGGAAGTCTCAAGGCACAAGGAGTGACATGTCTGTATTTGAAGAGCGAGAAATGTTATTTCCAATGATTCAGGTCGGAAGTTATGTTTCTCGGTGGATCACCGTGAAGAATCCGAGCGAAAACCCAGTTACCATGCAGCTTATCTTGAATTCAGGAGAACTAATTAACAACTGTAAGGGAATACATGATTTATTAAACCCTTCATCTGGTAATTTGGTTGTCGATGAAGGTGCTACTCCGACGAAGTTCGGATTCTCAGTACCAGAGAATGCACTGACAGAGGCTAATGTGCACCCCTACGATTGTGTAACTTTAGGTCCAATTATTTTTTATCCATCCGAACGTTGCAGCTGGAGCGGATCAGTGTTGGTAAGAAACAATCTTTCAGGTGTTGAGTCGATACCGTTACGGGGATTCGGAGGGTTGCTTTCTCTAGCTTTGTTTGATGATGGGAGTTCTTCTGAGCATGTCCAGAGTGTAGATTTTGATCTAAAAATACGGAAACCGCTCAATTTTTCTCTTCCTTACTCATTACTTCACACGAAAGAGATGGCTTCTGTTTGTTCGCAACCTTTAGTGAAAGAGTTATATGTCAAGAACACGGGAGACTTGCCGTTGGAGGTTAAAAGTATCCGGGTTTCAGGGAGAGAATGTGGTTTGGATGGCTTTAAGATTCTTCATTGTAGGGGATTTGCTCTTAAACCTGGGGAGTCTATCAAACTTACGATATCGTATCAAACCGATTTTTCTGCAGCTGTGGTGCATCGAGATCTTGAACTTGCATTGGATTCTGGTATTTTCCTGTTGCCAATGAAGGCAAGTTTCTCGCATGATATGGTAAGTAACTGCAAGAAGTCCATGTTATGGATGCGAGTTAAAAAAACTCTTTTCGGGTTCCTCCTTATTGCCTCCTTAATAAGTTTTGTATTTTGGTTCGTATCGCCTCAAAGCACTGCATTGGACTCCTTGGATTTCTCGGGCAAGGGCGATGATAACTTGGTCCACACCACCGCCATGAATAGTGGTGGGAGAACGTCTTTGCTAGATCACAACCAGAGAAAGAGTAAGCTCTCTGTGACTAATGACATAAATCATTTGATGGAGGCCTCTTGCGGAAGCTATTCATATGGTCAAGGAAATCCATCGGAACATGGAATATCACAACCTCCAATGCAGACTTCTGAGAATCATCGTTCATCGGATACTCGAGTTCTGAGCTCTGAACAAATGAAAGCATCCGAGACCGGTCATCTCGTGGTCAAAACTAGTAAAGAAAAAGGGAGAAGAAGAAAGAGGAAGAATCTCGGTGCAAAATTAACAGCATTGTCCGAAGTTTCAAGTAGCCAAAGTGGAAATTCTACACCCTCATCTCCCTTATCACCAGCTGCGTTCGCAATACCTAAATATAACTGGCCATCATCTTCTGATGTGGAGCAACCCCTTGAGACTCTTAATTCAACAACATCGTTAGCTGCACAAAATCCTACGAACAACCAATGTTCTGTTTTAAAGCCTGCATCTCCTCAAGTGTCGCATTCGCCTTCAAAAAGCGTTGCCACTACTTCTCCCTTTCGTGCAGCCAGCGCTCCTACATCCTCGTTGCTGTCATCAGAATGCAGTGTCGCTACTACTACACATGTTCGAGCTCCTGGATCAGAACCTGATAACCAAAAAGATGTTGGAGCTCAAGAGGCAGAACTGGCGGATGAGTATGTCTATGATATTTGGGGCGAACATTTTTCTTTACCTCACTTGTTAGTTTCGACGAAAAATGTTACTCAAATGAAGTGCGGTCCTGCGAACAACATTAGTTTCGACAGCTTTTTTGTAAGGGGTCCTCAGACCCTTGTGACAAATTCTCAAGTTGAAAAATAAAAAGCTCTTAAATAGCTGCTACTACTACTACTGCTACAGCCATGCACACTCACTATGTTGATCTAGTAGTGTAGAACAAATTATAACCTTGTGAATATTTTAACAAAATCAGTGCATGAAGAAAATCCTACAAATTTTTGGTAGTAAAATGGAAAATGAAATATATTTTTTGATAATCATGGAAAATGAAATATTGAAAAACTATATGTTGGGGTTGGTTCTGATACATGTTCAGCCCATACTTTGTTGAGTTCGGTTTTAGGGACATATCAAGACCAAAGATATTATTTTTTAGAGTTTTTCTCAAAAAAATAGTGATTTAATAAATTTTACATATGGGTTTTAATTCTTTTTTTAAAAAATACATAAAAAACAATAAAAACAATATATTAATAAATTATAATTAAAGATATTATGTTAATAAAAGTGGGACAAATTCTGCGGTGTAGGATACAATCTTTGTCTTTGAAGTGTCTTTAACCTGTTTCTGCAGAGAAAATTCCTATTTTTAATGTTTGTTTCAAACAAGACAAATTAATTTTGTGAAGATATACATTAATTAACATATACAAATTGATATTCTTATCTATATAAATTAGTAAAAACTAAAGTACATGATAATTACATTTTAATCCATCTGATTAAACACTTAATTTAGTCTAATTTCAAGGATAAAATAGATTTATTACACACTCCTTGTTTAATATTGATTTAGTAATTAATGATATTTATGTGCTACACCAAAATTTTTATTGTATTTTTTATTATTTAATTATTTAATTAATCGCTACACAATAGAAGTGGGCTACACGGTTATATTGAAATTGTATCAACACTTTAACCGTTGAGTTCTTTATCTGCAATGGTAATTGCAAAACCTGAATCATTAAATACTCTTTTTAAAAATACACAACTTTCATCTTTCAATCATCTCACCCTTTGAACTTTCGATATTTTTCAACAACACCCATAAATATACAAAGAAAAATCTCTTTAAACTCTAAACTATTCTTCCACCAAACTGCAATTAAGTTCTCTGCTTTTTTTTCTTTTGAGTATGTTGTCGTATTCGTATTTTTGCATCATAGTATCATCCATTTGCAATACTTCACTTGAGTTTAATTACAATGTCATATTTGAGTGTGCCAGTTCTCTGTTTTTTTTCTTTTCATTATTATGTCGTATTCGTATTCATATGTCATATTTGAGTCTTAATACAATACTTTGGTTAAATAGTTCACTTGAGTTTTATCATTCATTTGCGGATTCTGTGATATTCGTGTTTTTGTTATAGTCCACGTGTTTTATCATTCAATAAACACATCTGTTTATTTGATAATCGTGTTGTTGTTACAACTTATAAATCAATTTATTGCTCACCCTATTGAAGCTGTCAAGGATATCAATGAGTCAAAGAATTAATGGAAGATTGTCGTTAGGTGTAAACATATCTGGCCTGTGACAAGTGTTTAAAAAAAATACATTGAGATGGTTTTGGTTGACTCAAAGGTATGATAACTAGGTCATGTTCGTATTTTTGCATCATAGTATCATTCGTTTGCGATACTTCACTTGAGTTTTATTACAGTGTCATATTTGAGTATGCCAATTCTCTACTTTTTTGCTTTTGAGTATCATGTCGTATTCGTATCATATGTCATATTTGAGTCTTAATATAATACTTTGGTTAAATAGTTCACTTGAGTTTTATCATTCATTTGTGAATTTTGTGATATTCGTGTTTTTGTTACAGTCCATGTGTTTTTATCATTTAAGAGACACCTATGTTTATTTGATAAATATGTTGTTGTCACAATTTATAAATTAATCTATGACTCACCCTATTAAAGCTGTCAAGGATATCAATGAGTCAAAGGATTTATGGAAGACTGCCGTTAGATGTAAACATATCTGGTCTGTGACAAGTGCTTCAAAAAAAGAACACATTGAGATGATTTTGGTTTATTCAAAGGTATGATAATTAAGTCATGTTCGTAATTTTGCATCATAGTATCATCCATTTGCGATACTTCACTTGAGTTTTATTACAGTGTCATATTTGAGTACGCCAATTCTCTGCTTTTTTTCTTTTGAGTATCATGTCGTATTCGTATTCATATGTCATATTTGAGTCTTAATACAATACTTTGGTTAAATAGTTTACTTGACTTTTGTCATTCATTTGCGGATTCTGTGATATTCATGTTTTTGTTACAATCCATGTGTTTTATCATTCAATAGACACCTCTCTTTATTTGATAATCATGTTGTTGTTACAACTTATAAAACAATGTATGGCTCGCCCTATTGAAGCTGTCAAGGATATCAATGAATCAAAAGATTTATGAAAGATTGTTGTTACGTGTAAACATATCTGGTATGTGACAAGTGCTTCAAAAAAAGAATATATTGAGATGGTTTTGATAGATTCAAAGGTATGGTAATTAGGTCATGTTCGTAATTTGTCTTTGCAATGTGTTTGTCTGTAATTTAAGTTTTTTATATTCTTTTTTTGTAGCGAGATATGATTCAAGTCATTGTGCGGCCTTTTTTGGTTTTGAAATTCAAAGAAGAACTCGCTGCTAGAAGTTCTTACATAATACAGAATTTCAAAGTGTCAAACAATGATTTCTCTTTTAAGTCGACTAATCATAGTTGTAAATTGGTATTTTGTGGGTCAACTTTGGTTAAGAAGACAGAACTCTCTGACATTCCTTTGAATTTCCTGAACATACTTGGATTGGATGCCATAGTTGAGGAAAAATTTCAGTCTAATGTGTTAGTTTGTAAGTTATTAATGTATTTTATTTAATTTCGTGTTTTTATTCTCTAAATGTGTAAAATTATTTACAATAGATGGCACGTGTTTTTTTATTAGATATTCTTGGAAGAGTAACAGAGATTTCTCAATTCCAAATCAATGCTGATAACAACAAGAGAAAAGTTATTTTTACAATAATTGATAATAGGTATGTTGCATATCCATGAATGGTCATAATATTGTAGACCTTATTATTGCATTCACAAATCTCTGAGAATAACATATTAATTTGGTTCAAGTGTTTTTGAAAAAACAAATCTAGAGTACAATGTACTTTATGGGGGTCAACTTGCCGTACAACTTTACAAATATTATACGAGTCATAAGGAAGATGGCAATATAATTGTTCTGCTGATTAATGCAAGGATTAAGGAGGCTCAAGGTAATAATGTTTCATTTTTGCAATACTAAATATGATACCAAATTCAAAATACACGAGTTCTTATCATTATGTTCTTTACATCATATTAATATAAAAATCATGAAAATTGCAGGAGGTTTTCCCTTGAACATATCAAATGCTTGGAATGGCACAAAGTCGTTCATTAATGATGTTAGCATTGATGAAATTAGCAAGTTCAAAGAAAGGTATATGGTGAAGTCATTTTAATGATAATGTTGTTGTATTTGGTTTGGTTAACGCATTCGTACCAAATTTGATTATTAAAATTTGTCTTCTAATTAAAACAGTCTAAAAGGTGAATTGCCATTGTTATCTTCTTCAAGTCTGCAAGTTGACACATCATAAAATTCACATTATTTTGAGTTTTATAAGTTTGTGTGAAAGGACGAAATATCGAGTCTTGATGAAATAACAAGTCTGCAACATGTAAGACAACTTTGCATATATATTTATATGATGAATATGTGACATATGTTTAACAAATGTAACTTTTTCCAATTCCTTAGAAGACTACCTGTGTTACTATTGCGACTTTGGAGAAATTTGAGGTTGGGCAGTCAGAATAGTACTATGGTGAATGTGTTGATTGCACAAAAAATGTGTCTTTGAAGGATGTAGAGCTGATTTGTTATGCCAAACACATAAGTCCAAAGCTGGTGCCAATGTATTGTGTATAGTGGGCTTTAGGGTCCAAGGTATTTTCTATTTGGTGGCATTACATACATGACTAGACATACTTCTTATGTTATCGCTAATGCTATAGGTATAAACTCGAAGTTTTGGCCGTTGATGGTAAATTTAAGTCCAAGTTCAGTTTTTGGGACAACGATTGCGTGAAGTTGATTGGAAAGTATGCACTTCAAATGAAAAATGAGTTGATAAAGGTACATAATGCCATTTTATTAAGTTTGTGTTTTTTAGACAAATTGTTTAATACAGTTCTTTGTATTGATGTAGGCCGATGAAGATAATCTGCTTGAACTCCCTTATGAACTTGATGCATACTAAAAAAGGAGTTGTCTATTAGAGTTGTTTTCAGCCTAATAATGGGCGACTTTCTGTCATTAGCTTCAAAATTAATGACGATACCCGTAAGAAAGTTAGGGAGAGTTTCAAACTAGAAGAGGTAATCTTAGTGTACTTCTTAATTCTATAACATTATTTACAAAACTAGTCTAATATTAATCAGTCTTGACATCCTACTTCAAAGCTTCTAACACCTGATCGTTCGTCACAAGATGAACTAATAAGTGTTTATGTAAGTTATTACTTTAAACCTGACCACATTATATAAAACATGTCTCTTCCTATATTCTAAGGCTGATAATTATTTCTCCATTATCATAGCAGGAACCTTTATTTGCATCTGCAACTTATGACTCTGCAGTTGAAAATTCAAGTCTGACACTGTCTAAGAGGACTTTAACTGATGCACTAGAAGATATTGATAGTGCCTAAATTTCCTCAACCAAGTTAATTAAGGATATCAAGAAGGAGAAATAGTTACCTTCACCTTTTTTATATGTTAAGTTATTGTTAGTTTTGAACACAACAATGTGATTGTTTGTTATTTATTGCTTTGGTTACTTTGGATCTGATTCTATAATTTCTATCCAATCTCATTGTTTATGTTTAAGATTTATGTATCTCCAACTAATATTATGTTTAATTGCTAAAAAGTTTCTCTATATGATGCAAAAAAATTATACCTCTGTCATTTACTGTCATATTACTTGAGGTTTGAATTCCATTAACATAACAAATATATCAGTTTATGTAATTATCAGATAACAACATCCGTACAGGATATGGGCATATTGTAACGCCTGTAATTTAATTAATTATTTAATTAAATTATTTTTGGAATAGTTATGAAGATGTGTTATAATTAATTGGATTTATTTTATTAAGTGGAGAAATAATACTAGAGATATAATATTATGTGGTGAAATAATATTAAAAGTGTAATATTATTTAATGTGAGCTTATTTTGAGAGAGTAGAAGTAATAAGGGGGTGTGTTGGTTTTAAGCCCAATAAGGAATAATAGAATAATAGGGTTATTTTATTATTTGTTAGAAGGAATAGAAATAAAGAAGCAGTAGAAGAAATGGGGATTTGGAAGAGGACGTGCAAGTTGCTAGAGAAGTGGAAAACGGCAAGAACGTGAATCCAACCAGAAATTGTAGAGCGACCTTTAATCCAAGGTAAGGGTGGGGTTCTAAATCTATAATTGGGTTTATGATGATTGGTATGTGGGATTAGTGATGATTGTTGTCTTGTTCTTGAATTGGATGTATATGATGATGTATGATGAGATTTGATGAATCTTAGATGGATATTGATGTCATGATGTTGTTTAATTGATGTAGAATTATAAGATGATTATGGGTGACGAATTGTCATGATTATAATAAGTTTTAGGGCTTTAGTTATGGAACCGTAGTGAGATGTAGTGATGAAAAACGTAGAACATAGCAGTAATGAAAACGCAGAATTATGCTGGAATGATATCAGGCGCTACTGTATTAGAATTAATGAATTAATTGGAGAATAGAATTTTGTTAGTACTGTTCTTAGTTAGATTGATATCAGGCAAAGAATTAGAACAATAGGATGAATAGAAAATAGCAGTTCTGATGTTAGACGTAAGTGTTAGAAGTTGCATGGCCTAGTGAAAGGTAGAAATTCTGATGTTAGAAGCTGCGTTGCACTATTGAAAAATAGATGTTCTAGTAGTAGAAGTTGTACTAGTCAGAAGATGTGGCTGGTCAGAAGTTGTATTAATCAGAAGATGTGGCTAGTCATAATTTGTGTTAGTCAGAAGATGGGGTTAGTCAGAAGTTGTACTTGGTCAGAAGATGGGGTTGGTCAAAAGCTGTGATGATCAGAAGTTGCATCTGATCAGAGGTTGCATTAGTCAGAAGTTATAGTAGTCAGAAGATGGTGTCGCCCAGAGGTTACGTCATTAGAAGTTGTGTACTTAGAAATAGCGTTGGTTAGAGGTTGCGTGGTCAAAAGTTGGATGGCCTTCGCGTTGTTTTGTGCATAGCGATGAACGTTAGATGCTTAGAAGCTACTGTTTGAGCTATAACAGTAGGATAATGTCGGTCTTGACTTTAGAGTTACAGAATGACAGTGTTGACTTACTGTGGAAATTAAAATACTGCTGAGTTATAATGAGAAGTTAATAATAAATAAATGACGTTTGATGACTTATTTTGATTATTTGAGTTTTTTTGAGATGATTTGAGATGTTGTTAACTTGGGTCTTATCATTACATTCATGGTTGTGTCGCATACATTGCATTTTTGAGATGGAGCTTATGCTCGTTGAGATGGCCTGGATTGGCAAATTTTGAGATGAAGGTTATGCCTTGTTTATGCCTCTATTAATTGGCAAATTTTTGAGATGAGAGTTCTGGTCCAATGGTACCACATGTATTTGCATAGTATTGAGTCGCATTATATGATTTCATAAAGAAGTGTTTTTTGATGTGGGTGAATGTATATTATTGCTGAGATTGTTGTTGATTATGAGATGACAAGTGGTGACACTGTTGATCTAATTTAATATATTAATTATCATGCACTTTATTATATTGTTAGATATCTCACCCCTTCTGTTTGAATGTTGCCCTTATGTTGGTAACATGCAGGTAATCGAGAGTGAAGGTTGTATACCTTCAATAGTTCGAGTCAGTATCATTGCTCTGATATGTAACACTCAAGGGGATGAACGCTTGCTGTTTTTGATTGATGATTTTCAGTTGTTGAACTCTAATTTGATTATTACTAAATATGTGATGTTTCAAAGTTACTGTTTTATTGTTAGAAATGTTATTAAGAATTCTGCTGCGTAGATGTTGATTTAATTGATCAAAGATGTTATGTTGATGGTTCATCCGATGTTTGAAAAAGTGTTATATATCCAGAATGAATGCAATGAATTTGTTAGAAGAATTTATGACGTCCCGATTCATTTGTACGGTTGAAATTTTATAACTCTGATTTATTTTGCATAATTGCTTGGGGTAGAATTGGGGTGTTACAAAGTTGGTATCAGAGTAAAAGGTTGGTCCGACCTTGTCGTCGAGTCATAGTTATCTAACAATTGAGTATTGTTATTTGAGTTCTAATCGTTGTTTATGTTGTAGTGAGAAGTTGAGATGGATGGAAGGAACGATGCTGCTCTAGCTGCTGCTTTAGAAGCAATGGCTCATGCGATGGAAAATCAGCCGAATGCTGACGGGAATGCTGGATCTCGTAGCTTGGCGACTTTCCAGAGAGAGAATCCACCTACGTTCAAGGGAAAGTATGATCCTGACGGAGTATTGGAATGGTTGAAAGAGATTGAGAGAATCTTTCGCGTGATGGACTGCACTCCAGTGCAGAAGGTTCGTTATGGGACTCATACGCTAGCAGTCGAGGCTGATGACTGGTGGCTAGAGACTTATCGGAAGTTAGAAGCTGCGGGTGAGACTGTCACTTGGGCGGTGTTCCGTAGGGAGTTTTTGAGAAAGTATTTTCCTGAAGATGTCCGTGGTAAGAAGGAAATTGAGTTCCTTGAGCTGAAGCAAGGAAGTATGTCTGTTGTTGAGTATGCTGCCAAGTTTGCTGAGTTGGCCAAGTTTTATTCGCATTACGCTGAGGAAAATGCTGAATTTTCGAAGTGTATTAAGTTTGAGAATGGGTTGCGCCCGAAGATTAAGAAAGCAGTTGGATATCAGAAAATTCGTGTCTTTGCTGATTTGGTTGATAGCTGTAGGATTTATGAGGAAGATAATAATGCTCATTACGAGATTATTAGTGAGAAGAGGGGTAAGCACCCATAAAATAGTGGTAAGCCCTATGATGCCCCAGCTGGTAAGGGCAAACAGAAAGTTTCTCATGGTCAGAGGACTAGTGGGGGAGATGCTCCTGCTGGTGTGGTTTGTTTTAAGTGTGGAAAGTCTGGGCACAAGAGTAATGTGTGCACTACTGAAGTGAAGAGGTGTTTCTGTTGTGGCAAGAACGAACATGTTGTATCTGAGTGTGAGCACAAGAGTGTGGTTTGTTTCAACTGTAAAGAAGAAGGGCACATTGGTAGCCAGTGTTCGAAACCGAAGATGGCTCAGCCAAGTGGAAAGGTGTTTGCTTTGGTTGAGGATCAGACAGCTGCTGAGGACAGACTTATTAGAGGTACATGTTTCATTAATAATACTCCTTTAATTACTATTATTGATACTAGTGCTACGCATTGTTTTATTGCTGCTGATTGTGTTGAAAGATTGGGTCTTGTGTTGTCTTCTTTGAATGGAGAAATGGTTGTCGATACTCCAGCCAAGGGGTCGGTGACTACTTCTTTTGTGTGTGCTAAGTGTCCCTTGTCGATATTCGACAGAGACTTTATTATTGATTTGGTTTGTTTACCGTTAAGAGGTTTAGATGTAATTTTGGGTATGAACTAGTTAGAGCATAACTGTGTTCATATTAACTGTTATGACAAGTCGATGAAGTTTTCTACTCCTGAGGAAGAAGAAGATGGTCTGTTGTCTGCTAGACAGTTGAGAAAGTTGATGCATGAGGAAGCACAAATGTTTTCGTTGATGGCGTCGCTATCTGTAGAGACTCAAGCTATAATTGAGGAATTGCAGGTGGTATGTGAATTTCCTGAAGTTTTCCCTGACGAGATTCTTGATGTACCGCCGGAGAGGGAAGTTGAATTTGCAATTGATCTTGTACTTGGTACCAGACCTGTGTCTATGGCACCATACAGGATGTCTGCATCTGAATTGTCAGAGTTGAAGAAGCAATTGGAAGAGTTACTTGAGAAGAGGTTTGTAAGACCAAGTGTATCGCCGTGGGGAGCTCCAATGTTGTTAGTGAAGAAGAAAGATGGAAGTATGAGGCTTTGTGTTGATTATAGACAGTTGAACAAAGTGACGATTAAGAACAAGTATCCGCTTCCAAGAATAGATGACTTGATGGACCAACTAGTGGATGCTCGTGTGTTTAGTAAGATTGATC